GTGCAGATACCTCAAGTCAGATGAAAGAATTGACAAAAAACTTGTGAGAGCAAGAAAAAGCTCAAATTTGATGATTACGGGGGAATTAATCTGTATCAATTCTGAATTTCAAATAGAAATTCAAAATGTTAACTATTTACCAATGTCGATAGCGAATATGGAATCATTGCAAACCTCACCTAACACTTCACCTTCCTCTCGCTATTCCTGGCCAACAAATAAATGAACTGGAAGAATATTAGTCCAAGCAATGGCCAACGCGTCAACTACCCAAATCACTAATAAAAGCTCGAGTAAGTAAAAGCTCAACAAAAAAAAAACAAGCCTCACCGTTTCAAATAAACAAAAAATAACAAACAAATTCTGAATCAACGTAGCCCGAACAAACACCACCCGAAAAATACCACCCGAACAAACACCGCCTGAACAAATACCATCTGAACAAACACTACCTGAACAAATACTGCCTGAACAAACACTATCTGAACAAACACTGCCGAATAAAAAAAGAACAAAAAAAAAATACATAACCTATCTTTTTTTTATCTCGTACCCGATTACTTTTCTTTTTTGCTATAAAAAAAAGAACTTAAATAGTTGAGAATCTTCCTTACATAAATTCTCCTCTTCTATTCTGTACCCTAAGAAAAAATTTCTCTTTCTCTTTTTTTCTTTTTCCTTAATTATTATAATAATTATGATAAAAAATAAAAACGTCAAATAAAAAATCACTTTTTTTTCTCTGTCTTAATTCTTGTCATTAAAAAATAAAAAATAAAAATAAACGATCGCAATCTTTTTTTTTTCTTTATTACTGTATTATTGTTGCAAATTACAAATAATAAATAATAATCATAAGTTATAAACAAATACATAAATAAATAAATAAATAAATAATACAAAAAAAACGAGAACAAATAAACAACCGAATTTTTCAATCCTCCAAAAGAAAATCGTTCCTCTTTTCCGTTTGTATCCTACATCCCATTAATCGATCAACTAAACAAAAAAAAATAAATGTCAAATATAGGCAGAAAAAAAAATAAACCAAACATATCCTATCATGTATATGATATGTACTACATAGGTATACCTACCGAAAATATCTTCAAATCATTCGTAGATAATACATCCACTCCCATTACCCTTACTAATTTAACATATTCTCAACAATTTAATGACCAATCAAATACAAACACACTCATGGATCTTACCCCTCTCGTACCATCACTGAATAACCCGTGAAGACCAGATGAAGTATTTTGACGCATCCAAACAAAGTTTCAACTCACGATACTAAAAGAATATCCTAACATTCCTTGCGTTTACTGCAGAAGATTACTATACAAAAATAAAGCCACTTGGGTCATATATAATCCCTCAGAAACCTATCCCATCGAATGAGCAAATCAAGTTAACGCTCTCAAATTATACGGTACAACAAAATGATAAATTATGAAACTTCCCTCCTGTAGCTCCTGTTCAAAATCACGAAATAGACTTCAATTCCTGATACTGGCTGAAATCCGATCTGTTCCTATGCATCGAAGGAAATTTCTATCTCCAGTACATCTACAATGCTCCCTTGGAAGAAATTCGGATCCTAACTCTTCCTACTCAGAATATCGTACCATTTTAGGTACCATGGGCTATTCAATCAACTTTAGAGCATTAGCGCTATACTCTGGCATAATAGGTGCTTACCTACAACCACTCAATCCCAACCACGTTCCCAATGAACAAATCATAGACGATAACCTCTTACAAGCAGCCCGCTGGCTAAGCTCGTACAATCCTTACCCCAGAAACTACACAAACGCCATAAATCAAAGATCTACAACCTCGGATCCATTCCCAACTGCCACACACATTCCCAACGATGATACACTACCACTCGTAAACCAACGTAATATAATTGTACCAATGATAAACCTACCTAGCGAAGTTCACGATGAAGACTTCCACTACTCCAGACTAATGGCAGGATTCATTCAAGAAGGTAATAACAAATCATTACCAATCTCAATCTATGATCCAAACCTCGAACCTTTCCTATTCCCCACTTGTTCCCTAATGGTAAAGGATACTTTTACGACCTAAAAGAAGATGCTTGAATGAACAAAACAAGCCTGAAACCCTAGGAAAGTACGCAAAACAGATGTTACTTCTGAATGATTTAAGGTTCAGACTCGATCATTACTGGCCATCCTACACCTACCTACAATTAGAAAAACTTCGTCATCACCAAAATACACTACGTATACTACGCCAAAATAATGTAGACGAATTACGCCATCTCCCAACTGCAATCGAATTAACCCAACAAAGTAACTACTCGAATACAAGGCACATAAATGAAAACTTGACCATACTGATCCTCAGATTCATTAGAACAGGAGACTCCTACTTCCACGAAAAGGAACTGCACCTTAACTCAATGCTATGAAAACTCAACCTTTCCACAATCTTCATCACACTCTCAATGGCAGAGAACAGATGGACAGAACTCCGAGACATACTATCACAAACTGACAATAATGATACCAACCTGACCAACAGACTTTTACATTCTACTTTACACTTCATAAACTGATTCAGATCACTAAAAAAAGAAGTATAGAAGAACGAAAAGATTAGCAGATGGGGCACAATAACTGACTTTTTTGACCGGATCGAATTCTAAAACAGAGGAGCAGCTCATACCCACAGATGTTATTAGACGACAAAATCGACTGAGTATATGATCCAAAATGATACCATAAGTTCTGACCTACCAGACCCAGAAATAGAACCAGAACTGTACGAAAAAGTACTAGCCTACCAAACCCATCGATGTAACTCACTCAAATGTGGTGGACCCACACCCACTGGAGAACAATGCAAAAAAGGCTTCCCACGACAATTCTCCAATATAATATATATACACTAAGATTCTCACAGATATACATATAAATGCACAAAGCCTTCTGACCAATGGATAGTACCATACCACCTCCAAACACTACTAATCTGGAACGCCTACATGAATGTCCAATACGTAACCTCAAAAGGATTCGCCAGATACATAACCAAATATATAGTTAAAGCTGAACCCTCCCACATATTTAATATAACAGACAACGATAAATTTAGAGAGCACATCATTGCGAGAAGACTAGAAGCAATGGAAGCAATGTTCCTATTAACCAGCGAAATAATATATAACTCCTCAATTCAAGTAAAATACCTAAATACAGACCCAACTTACGTCAGACCAAAGGTAGTACTACCAATCCACCTACTAACAAACGAAGATGATGACCTGTACTTCAAAGACCCCATCGAAAAATATACGAAAAACCCCACAAACCTAATATTCGATCAAATAACCTATTCCCAATACTTCGAAACCTACACCATTCAAAAAAGCAGACTGACAAACACAAGAAGAAATACATATCAAGACCAACTCAGAAACTGCATCATTAAAAAAGCCAAACCAATCATAGTACGACACCGATTCCTAAAAGCAACCGATGGAGAACTATACTTTTACCAATTATTACTCAAAACTATCCCAACTCAAAGTGAAGATGAACTAAAAAATAGCCATCTGACATACCGAGACCGTTACATCTCAATGTTCCCAAACGCCACAGAAGAAATTCGACGGAATACACAAGACCGGACTGAATAAATAAGACGAATCATGAACCTGAGATATTCCGAAATTCTAGACCAATTACTATTAAACCTAGAGAGCATCATCCCAAAAAATATCTTAAGAATTCAACTCGATTCCTTAAAAATTCTTCCACCAATACTCTCCGAAAACACCATTTACCAACTACCATACAATTAATACCTCGCTATGTCCACCCTCAGATCCTTTTTAGGAAGAAGAAGCGCACAAAAATACCCTATTTCTTCATCACTGGGTCCGCCAGAACAGGAAAATCCTAACTTCTCCACCTACTAATAAACTCGTTAAAAAATGACAAACTAAATTACCTCCTAATGGCATCCACTGGCATCACTGCTCAAAATATAGGAGGAAGTACCATTCACTCTACCCTAAAATTATCTTCAACACAGACAGATTTTCGTACTCTAGCATTTCATGACAACGAACTCAAAGACAAACTGAGAAAGATCGATGTAATAATAATCGATAAAATATCGATGGTATTCGCAGAACTCTTAAATTTTATCTCAAACACATTTGCCACTATCCACTAAAATACCACAGCCTTCGGAGGTATCAATACTATTATCGCCGGAGACCTAGCTCAACTACCACCAGTAAGTGGATCCTAAGTATTTAAATCTTCAACATGGAAACTATTCCACCCACTCATCCTACACCAACCTCAACGTCAACAAAGCCAGTCTGAATTTTACGACATGCTACAAAACATACGCCTAGGCAACCTAACTGAAGAAATCTGGGAAAAGTTAAGAAACAAATATAAACAATTCGACTCCAACAGGCCGATCGAACTCCTACTCAACACAACAAATATAGTAGGATACCGTGAAACTGCAGACAAGATAAACCGACTAGTCTGCAACACCTTATCAATAACTCAAAATAAATTCATCATCTCCTGAGCCATTGACACCATAAACGAAGAACTCTGAGACCCAGACATAACAGAAAAATCCTTCAAATCAAAAACGAACTTATCATCTACCGTATGACTTCAACAAGACGCAAGAGTAATATACCTAAACAATTCCAAAGCAAGCCTCAACATCTACAACGATACAATCAAAATCATCACAGACATCGACAAAGAAACAAATCTAGTCTGAGTCTCATTCAATGTACCAGAAGGAATCATAGACACAAACATCGAACCAACCACTAATTACTTCACTATCAAAGGCAATCAAGCCAGCCACTACCAGTTCTCAATCCAAAACTCCTACGCTCTGACCGTTCACAAGACTCAGGGTCTCACCCTAAATGACATCTCCATAAGCTTAGACGATCAAATTTTCTTATCAGGACAAGCATACGTTGCACTAAGCAGATGTCTTAATTGGAATTACGTACAAATCCCCACACTCAAAAGAACTGTTTTTATAACTAACCCGGACGTCATCACAGAATACCAAAAGCTCGAAAAAATACCCAAAACTTCCCTACCGATCTAACCATACTCACAACAAAAACAACAAAAACAAAAAAAAAAATAAAATAAAATAAAATAAAATCTCCCTTCACGTCAATAAATATCAAAA